TAATAAAGAAAATAATAAAGAATGGATGGATTAAATAAAATTGAATCTTTAATTAAAGAAATTGATACTTACAATAAAATGGATGTATTAAATAAAAAAATATATCCTGCTAAAACTTGTGATAAATGTAATTTAACAATTGGTTACAAAAGTTGGGCTTCACATTTAAAATCTATTCGTCATCAAAAAATGATATATATCAAACAGTTTTACCTTGTAGTTTTAATACAAAATATAATGGTGTACCAATTAATCAATATAGACTAAAAAATTTTAATTTTTTGAAATTAATGCGAAATAAAATAAAAAAAAGTATACAAAAAAATAAATGTTATGTGAAATTTTGTGCTTTTGAATACTATGAAAATTCTGAGAGTATTAAATATAATCTAAATAAAATTCCAATTGAAGGAAATATTTTTATTATTAGTCAAGGAGATGTTGATTTTGGAAATGGAAATCCTTATATTTCTAAACTATTACATTCACCAACTTGGTTAGAACTTTGTCATATAGCCAATGATCAAATTATTGCAACAAGTGATTATAATCACTAGTATCTAGACAATATTAAGATTGTTCAAGATTTAGGAAATATTAAAATGTGTGAATTTAGTATGGGATCTTAATATTATTTTTATTAAAATATTGAATGTAAAAAAAAAAAAAATAATATTCTCTGTAGTAAAGTTTGGAAAATAAAAAAATTGAAATCAATTTTAATAGAAATGTTAACAATAATAAAATGGATAACAAAACTTGTGATAAATGTAACTTAACAGTTAGTTACAAAAATTGGTCTAGACATTTGAAATCTATTCGTCATCAAAACAATGATCCAGATCATACAATTATACCTCGATTTAGACGAACATACAGAGGTACAACAACAACAAATGTAAGAACAAGACAAGAGAGAATACCAAAAATAGATAAAACTTGTGATATTTGTAAGCTAACAGTTAAATACAACAGTTGGTCTAAACATGTGCAATCTATTCGACATCAAAACAATGGTATAAGACCAAGAATATCAAGAGAGACAATACCCAAACCACATAGAGTTTTCAATTTTAGTGAAGAAATGTTTGAAAAAAACAACACTATTCGACCTATTTTAAAAAATGAAGAAACAGCATTTCAAAGTAGATTAAAACTTATATTATTAAAAATAATATTTGTATTAAAGATATACAAGTGTTTTTAAAATCGTTTAGATAATCCAGTAATAGGACGACTTAAACATGAATTAAATAAGAGAAATTTAAAAGTTAATATTATGTTTCTTGCTATATATAAGAGAGGTACTAATGAAGAAAATATGGAATATGAGGAAAAAAATTTTAAAACACAAAATAAAATTTTAACAAAAAATTCTAACTTAAATGATTTTTATATAATAACAAAAATTAAAATTGTAAAAGAAGAAGACAATTTTGTAATGAAAAATTCACAATGGATACTTCATTAAATTTTAAGTTTGGGAATAAATATAAATAAATATGTTCCTTTTAAGGGTTCTTCATATATTCCATTACCTAAACATATTAGTAATAAAAATGGTATTATAAATGTTAAAAATAAAGATGATAAATTTTTTCTTTGGGCAATACTCTCTGCTTTACACCCTGTTGAAAAAGATGCTCAAAGAGTAACTAAATATATTCCTTTTAAAAATGAATTTGATAAAGAATTTAAAGATATTGAATTTCCGGTAAAAATCACAGACGTTCCGAAAATTGTTAAAAGAACAAAAGATATTTCTATTAATATTTTTTATTTAGTTAAAAATGTAATTGAACCTCGGTGAAATAACTAAAATCGAAAAAACTAATCATATAGATTTATTATATTTAACAGTGGATGATAAGGATAATGTGAATAAAGGACATTATTGTTGGATTAAATATTTATGGAAAGTAGTAGGAAGACAAAATACAAAAGATGGTCATAAAAGATTTTTGTGTAAAATGTGTTTAAATAGTTTTGGTACAGAAAATAAGTTAAATGATCATAAACATTATTGTTCTAATAATAAAGCTGCTAAAATAGTTCTACCAGAACCCTATAATAAAACTTTAGAATTTCAAAATTATAATCATTCCTTAAGAGTCCCTTCTGAGATTTTTGCTGACATTGAATGTGTGATATAATGTATTATTATGATTATTATTATGTTGAATGTGGTACGACTGTACCCAGTACCCACACACACTCTCATGTTCTGTCGTCTTTAACTGTGATATCAATCAATGATTAATTACTAAAAAATGTGTATTATTATATTAAAATGTTGTGTCTAATGTCTGTCTTTAAACTCAATAATAAAGTTCAGAAATTATAATTAAACTGTGTAAACCTTATTAAGTACAACCTTTTGAATCATTAAAACAACAAAGTACAAATAAAACATGGCGCAGTCGTTAATCTTGTAGTTGTTTGGATTCAAATGGATAAAATCTGTAACTTTTGCATGTGGTTGGTGTTGATGAGTGTGGCTAAATAAAATAAATAATAAGTCAAAATGGACTTTAATAAGCCAAATCCACTAATAATGTCCGGCTATCTGGCCGAAAACTTCCGCACGTTCCGGCAAAGTGTTCAGATTTACTTCGACGCAACTGAATCACATTTGAAAAGACCGGCGACACAGGTAGCTATTATATTAAATTTGTTGGGCCCTGAAGCATTAAAAATTTATAACACATTGAAGCCTGAAGAGAATACTGTCATTGAAGTATTAAGGGCCTTGGAGGAATACTGTATCCTAGAAGAAATCAAACAATGGAGTTATATAAATTCTTTACCAGAAAGCAATTGGAAGGCGAAAACTTTGATAAGTTTTATTCGGATCTGAGAGATCAGGCAAAGTCTTGTGAGCTAGGGGATTGCGAGGATAAATTAGTAAAATCGCAAATCATTCTTGGTGTTGCTGATCGAGACTTGCAAGCACAATTGCTACGTGATGACCTGTCTCTGGAAAAGGTAGTACGCCATTGCAAGGCAAAAGAACAAATGGAGATCAACAGAAAACTAGTACAGGATGAAGTCAAATTAGTCTACAACGTCGAAGATGGTCAAAAGAAACATCAAGTTACAAAAGGAAGACATTTCGAGCAGAGGACAACACAGACTGGCAGTGGCAAAGGATGGTCAAACAAAACTCAGTCAAATCAGTATAGCAGCTCAGATAGGGTATCAAGTAAGAATAATAGTAATAAACCAAATGTAAAGGGTGTAAATTATATAAATGACTGTAATAGATGTGGTAAATCGCACAAAGTAAGGGAATGCCCTGCATATAAAAAAAATTGTAGTAACTGTGGTTTGCTAAATCATTTTAGAAACAAGTGTAGATCAGGAAAAAGTAAATTAGAAAATCAAGTTGATAACTTAGAAATGGAATTTTCAATAGATGCTTTGGAGGTAAAGATCATGAATACAGAGCTCGCATATGGAGAAATTAAAAAATCTTGGATTGATCATATTAGAATGAATGGTGTTGAACAAAAAATTAAATTGGATACTGGGGCTGAGCTAAATGTAATGTCTTATAAATTATTTAAACAGTTTAATGGTCTAAATCTAAATAAAAGTAATGTAATAATTAAATCATTTGGTGGTTATACCACAAACTCTAAGGGAAATACTTTATTTGAATTAGAGCATAAGGGTAAGAAAATAAAAAGAGTATTTGAAGTAGTTGATTATGATGGGTTACCACTTTTGAGTTTTGAGGCATGCTTGTCATTAAATTATAAATTATCTGAGGTTAATGAATTAAATGTTTTAAATAAACAAAGTAAAAAGGAAAAGTTCATACAAAAGAATAAAGAGATATTTGAGGGTATTGGAAAATTCCCAGACAGGATTAAAATTAAATTAAAAAATAACCCAAATCCGGTTTGTAACCCACCTAGGAGAGTGCCAATCAAGATATTTGATAAATTAAGGGAGCAACTAAATTTAATGGTTAAACTAGAGTTGATAGAAACATGCAGTGAACCAAGTGAATGGCAGAGCAACCTAGTAGTTGTTGAAAAACCTGATGGCACATTGAGAATATGTCTAGATCCGAAGGACATTAACGCTAATATATTAAGAGAGATGTATCAAATACCTACGCTTGAAGAAATAAGGCCTGCACTTGCTAATAAAAAATTCTATAGTTTGTTAGACTTAAAAGATGGTTTTTATCATTGCGAGTTAGATGAGGTCTCTAGTAATATATGCACTTTTAGTAGTCCTTTTGGCTCATATAAGTTTAAACGATTACCATTTGGTTTGTCTGTGGCTCCTGAAATATTCCAAAAATTAATGGTGAAATACTTTGGGGAAATCGCAGGTGTTCAGATTTACTTTGATGATATATTGATTTGTTCTGATAGTAAGTCTGAGCATGATTTAATATTGGAAAAAGTAACAGAAAATGCCCGTAAGTTTAATGTTAAATTCAATGCTAAAAAATTTCAATACTGTGTTAGTGAGGTCAAATTTTTAGGTTTCATATTCAATGAATTTGGTGTTACTCCTGATCCTGATAGAATTAGGGTAATTCAGGAATTGAATGAACCTACAAATAAAAAAGAACTTCAGTCATTTCTTGGTATGATTAATTACCTAAGATCATTTCTACCAAACTTGTCTGAAATTGTCACCCCATTTAGGGAATTATTACAAAAAAATGCTCTGTGGAATTGGAATAAACAGTGTCATTTGACTTTTATCAAACTTAAAGAATTTCTTTGTAAAATACCTACATTAAAAAATTTTGATAGCAAATCGGGATTGGAAATTCAGTGTGATGCATCCGAGAAAGCGATAGGTTGTTGTATTTCACAGATGAAAAGCCCTATACATTTTGCATCTAGATGTTTGAGTGAAACAGAGGTTGCATACGCTCAGATAGAAAAGGAAATGTTGGCAATACAAAGTTCCACTCATTAATTTATGGTCAAAAAATTAAAATTTATACTGACCACCAACCTCTTGTGTCCATTATGAAGAAAGATATTCATAAAATTCCGAATAACCGTTTAAAAAGACTTAGACTTAAGCTTTTAATTTATGAAATAGAGTTGCAATACTTACCAGGTCGTTATATGTACATTGCTGACCTTTTAAGCAGAAATTTTATTAAAAGGAGTAGTATTGGTGAGGAAAGTCTAACTGATGTCATTCATACAGTGTGTGATATTGAGCTAGCATATAAAAATTCAAAAGAACAGGAGTTTATACAGAAAACCCAAGATGATGAGGTACTTGGAAAGGTACTTGTTTATTGTAAATCTGGGTGGCCTAGGACAATTATTGAGGATGGTCAGCTCAAACATTATTCGAAGTTAAAAATGAAATTATAAGTAGCAAGGGACTATTATATTATCAATCTAGGCTTTTAATTCCAAAAACATTAAGAAAATACATAATACATAAATTGCATGAAACCCACCTAGGGATCACAAAAACTAAGGCCAGAGCTAGACAATTATTCTATTTCCCTGGTATAAATACACAAATTGAAAACTATATACTTTCTTGTGCTGTGTGTTTAAAATTTAGTAGGTCGAAAATTAAGGAACCAATGCTATCTCACACAATTCCAGACATTCCGTTTTATAAAATCGCAATTGATATAGCAGAGTTTGGGGGAAAGAGCTATTTAGTCATTGTTGACTATTATTCAAGATGGATCGAAATATTAAAATTATTTAATAAAACAAGTGACGCAGTCATAGAAGTCCTTAAGCAATTGTTTGGTAGATTAGGTATCCCTAGACAACTAATTGCTGACAATATGCCATTTGGTAGCTTTAAGTTCAGGGAATTTTCAAACAAATGGAATTTCCAAATTATAACATCAAGCCCACATTATGCTCAGAGCAATGGTCTAGCTGAACGAGGGGTTAGCATCGCTAAAGATATGTTAAAAAAAAGTCACCACACAGGGATGGATATTGATTTCTATCTATTGGCATACAGAAATACTCCAATCTCTGGGTTACAATATAGTCCGGCCCAACTACTACAAAGCAGAGAATTAAGGAGCACGATGCTAGTTGATAAAAGTAAATTCAAACCCAAAGTAGTGTCGTGTCATGATAAAATATTACAAAATAAAGAAAAACAAAAATATTTCTATGATAGGACAGCAAAGAAAGGAGTAGAAACATTTGTTGAGGGACAATTGGTCTATGTACAGGATAAGTTTAATAAAACATGGAGTGAGGGTGAAATTTTAGAAAAATTAAAAGAGCCAAGAAGCTATAAAATAAAAACAAAAAATGGAAATACAGTGAGAAGAAACGTACAGTGGTTAAAAAAGAGAACACAAAATGGGTATAATGACGTTGGAGAAAATGAAAATGATACTGAAACTGTGAATATTGAGACTGAAAATGAAAATAATGAAAATGATACTGAAACTGTGAATATTGAGACTGAAAATGAAAATGATACTGAAACTGTGAATATTGAGACTGAAAATGAAAATGATACTGAAAAAGAAAATGAAAGTACTAATGATGGTATAAAAAGAACCAAAAGAGGTAGAGTAATTAAAACACCCAAAAGGTATTTGTAATTGATCAATGTTTCTAAGTATTTTAATAATTGGTCTTAATATTTCTTTGGATATGTTTATTAATTTTTTTTTTATTTTTTAGTTATTAAATTTGTATGATGAAGTATTATGATTATCAATTGCAAATGTATTAAATATAATGTCTATCAAGTTGATTGTATTGTTCAATTGTTAATTATTTATTTTTATATTTTTTATTTTTGTTGTTTGAATTAAAATTAATAATTATTAATTAATCTGAATAAGAGAGATGTGATATAATGTATTATTATGATTATTATTATGTTGAATGTGGTACGACTGTACCCAGTACCCACACACACTCTCATGTTCTGTCGTCTTTAACTGTGATATCAATCAATGATTAATTACTAAAAAATGTGTATTATTATATTAAAATGTTATGTCTAATGTCTGTCTTTAAACTCAATAATAAAGTTCAGAAATTATAATTAAACTGTGTAAACCTTATTAAGTACAACCTTTTGAATCATTAAAACAACAAAGTACAAATAAAACAGAATGTACACTTCAACCAATATATACTTGTCAACCAAATGATACATAGTCTTTTACAAAATGTTATCAGAAACATAAACCTAATAATTTTTGTTATTATATTAAACATAGTAATGGTGATTATAAACCTCCTGTAGAATATTTTGGTCCAAAAGTAGCTCTAGTATTTTATGAATGTATGAAAGATGAAGAGATACTTATTTCTGAAATATATGATAAAATAGTTCCTATGAAAACATTGAATGCAGAACAATTAAAAAATTATTATAATAAATCTGGTAAATGTCATATTTCTGAAAGATATTTATCAGATTTACCTCCAATGTTAGAGAAAAAATTTAAAATAATTAAAGACGTTATTGAACATTATGAAAATATTGATGATGTTAAAAAAATTTAAATTGAATGAAGATAAACTTAAAATAATTAAAAACGCTATTGAACATTATGAAAATATTGATGATGTTAAAAATTTAAATTGAATGAAGATAAACTTAAAAACGAAGTAGAAAATAAAAATAAAAATATGCAAAAAGTTCGGGATCATGACCACTTAACTGGAGAGAATAGAAGAGCAGCACCTGTAATCTTAATTATCAAAATCCACGTTTTATTCCAATTGTTTTTCATAATCTTTCAGGTTATGATGCTCATCTATTTATAAAAGAATTTGGGAACGATAATGAAAGAATAAAATTGCTCGCAAATAATGAGGAAAAATATATTTCTTTTTCAAAAGATATATCACGTGTAGTAACTAGGAATGGTAAAAACATAAAAAAATGTACAGAATTAAGATTTATAGATTCATTCAAATTTTTACCTAGTTCTTTAGGAAAGTTAAAAAATAATTTAAGAAATGATTCAAAATCAAATTTAAAAAATAAATTTAAAAAACTTAGTAAATATTTTCCCGAAGATCATTTAGATTTAGTTACTAGAAAGTTAGCTTATCCCTATGAGTATATGGATTGTGAAGAAAAATTTAATGAAACATGTTTACCTCATATTGAAAAATTTTATAGTTCTCTCACTGATAAAAATATAACTAAAGATGAATATGAAAACTCACAAAAAATTTGGAAAGCGTTTAATGTAAAAAATATGCGTGAATTCACTAGTTTATATAATGAAATCGATACTTTATTGTTAACAGATATAATAGAAAATTTTAGAGACATTTCTTTAAAAAATTACAAATTAGATCCTATGTGGTATTACACAACACCAGGATTTGCATGGGATTGTATGTTAAGAATGACAAACCTAAAATTAGATTTATTAACAGATGTCGATCAATTATTGATGTTTGAATCTGGAATCAGAGGTGGCTTATCTCAATGTAGTCAAAGATATTCAAAAGCAAATAATTAATACATGGGAGATAAATTTAAAAAAAAAGATGAATCAATATTTTTACAATACTTAGATGCAAATAATCTTTATGGTTGGGCAATGAGTAAATATTTACCTACTGGAGATTTTAAATGGATTGATAATCTGAATGATTTTGATGTAATGAATATTTCTGATAAATCATGTAAAGGTTATATTTTAGAAGTCGATTTATCTTACCCTAAAGAACTTCATGATCTACATTCAGATTTCCCTTTAGCACCAGAAAGACATTTTGATAACAAACAACTTCCAAAATTATTAACAACTTTGTATGATAAGAAAAAATATATAATACATTATGAAACACTAAAATTATATATTAATTTAGGTTTAAAGATAGAGAAAATTCATAGAGTGTTAGAATTTAGTCAATCTCCTTGGTTAAAAGTGTATATTGATTTTAATACTAATCTTAGATCAGAAGCTAAGAATGAGTTTGAAAAAGAATATTTTAAATTAATGAAAAATAGTGTTTATGGACGTACTATGATGAATGTTAGAAATCATGTTGATATAAGACTATGTTCTAATGCAGCCCAACTAGAAAAATTAATTATAAAACCAAATTTTGATCGAAGGACAATTTTTACAGAAAATTTAGTTGCAGTACATATGAAAAGAACACAAATCTCTTTCAAACAACCTATATATATAGGAATGTGTATATTAGATTTATCTAAAATGTTAATGTATGATTTTTTTTATAATATTATAAAGAAAAAATATGGAAATAAAGTTAGAATGTTATATACAGATACAGATTCACTTATATTAGAAATAAAAACTAATGATTTTTATCAAGATATGAAAATTATGTTAGATCATTTTGACACTTCAGATTATCCAAAAGATAATATTTATGGTTTACCTTTAGTTAAAAAAAAGTTTTAGGCAAGTTTAAAGATGAGTTAAATGGAAAAATTATGACAGAATTTATAGGTTTAAGATCCAAATTATATTCACATCGAATCTTAGATACTGAAAAATAAATTAAAAAAGCTAAAGGTTTAAAAAAAATGTTGTGGAAAATAAAATATGTTAAACAAAATTTATTTAGAACTAAGAAACATGATATTTTTACTGTAGAACAAACAAAAAAGCTTTAAGTGTTTATGATGATAAAAGATTTATTTTGGAAAATGGTATTGATACATAAGCTTGGGGACATTATAAAACAAATATAGATAGAAATGATTTTGTAAACCATCTCAATACACTGATTAAAAATCAAAATCAAAAAGATTAAAAAAAATATTTTCAATAGAAAAAACATTTTTTTAATACACTATTTTTCATTTCGATTTTAATTATTAATATCATAAGTTTTCTGAAAAAAGTATTTCATTTCAATTTTAATTATTATTGCATTTCATAAGTTTTACCAAAAAATATTTTAATTATTATTGCATTTCAATTTTTCTGATCTTTTTGAACATTGTTTTCTTTGTGATCTTTTATTGATATAATATGAGCTGGTCCAGGAATGGTATATATATACTACTCCTATGGTATTATAATATATGAATTAAGACTTGAGCTTTGCCTATGTGAATGTATTTCAACTAAATTTGAAGGTATTAATAAAATGTTGATGAAAATAAAATATATTGAATGAGTGTCAATAGTAAAATATCGAAGGACATCAAGTTATGTGATATAACTCAATTTGGGGCATTAATATTTGAAAAATTACTAGGAGATTATTATTTTTATTTTCACTTCTTCTTCAAGAAGATAATGGGTCCATGAGCCCACGAGCTCACAATTTTTAATATAAATTCATTAAATAGTTAATTTTATAAATTACATTATTATAATTAGCAATACACATTCCTCACATAAGTAAAATATCATTAAAAATAAACACATTTTTTTTTTTTTTTTTGTTTATATAATATAATAATGTAGTGTTATGTAAAAAATGTGTAGTTAAATAATTCAATACATCTATAGCAATAAAACTTATATTATCAATAAATGATAATAAATGATTTAATATTATATTATATTATAATAAGAAATGCAATCGTTTTATACATTTGGTATAAGTCTGTCTATATTTTGTTCTTGTATAAGTAGCATTAGTGTAATATTTTGTTTAACAATCTTAAAAGAGTTACTATGTTTAATTTCTATTGGTAATGCATGTATTGTAAATGTTTGAACTGATATATAGATATATAAGTATTTGGATTATGTTAATTTGTTGTGCATGGTTGGTACTTTTACTACTATTAGATATTGCTCCTTATTATAACTATGCCTATATATTTAGTATATATTATCAACAATTAATGGGAAATGAGCGCCATTTCATTGTGTACCTGGTGCATCAAATTCCGAAGTATGCCCTTGTATATACCTACTGTCACAAAACAAATTAATAAATACTAGCAAAGTGATAGCATTAAATAAAAATGTTATACAAATGTTTTTAATAATAAAAAATTAATTCACTCAATTCGAGAAAATAATGAATAAGAACAAAAATAGCTTACATAACGAATGCATAATGTTTTCCATGGCCCATAATATTAACAAAATTAAAAGTAATTAAAGATAAAAAAAAAGACTAATAGATTATAAAAAAAGCAAATATTAGTTGAAAAAGTGACCGATTAACAACCCTGGAATTTTATAAAATGTTATAATATAATGCAATATCAGTATAGTAAAATATTTAATTTCTCCTAATTTTGAATGTTTGTGGCAACCCTGTTTCTTAAACTATTTAAGATTTTAAACAGAATGAACAATGTTAGAACAGTTATTAATTATAGTGATAATATTTTTAACTTAAAGCTAATACTTTGGCTTACCAAATATGACAGCGCAGCTTTGAAGTGTTGAAAACTGGTGTTTTCTTTTAAACCCAATAAATGAGTAATCAGCACTTTAATTATAATTTTATAATTACCAATTCGGCTCTGTATTGTCTATTATCAGTAAATTTATCTTCTGCATTTTTCAGTTCATCATTATTATTGATACAAGGAATATCATTGTCATAATCTGCAGTAGTGTTCAGTGTATGGTTTGTTGAAAATAAAATAAAATTTTCTATTTTTTCATTAGTTTTTTCG